ATATTTAGGATGATAATGTTTTAAGATCAAAACAGGATGAACAAAGATACATTGCCTGTCTGGTTCATTAAATTGAAACTGATTGCCTTGAAAACAAAAAACATGTAGGGTATAAAAGCAGTTGGAAAAGACAATAGATTGGTATTTGTTCTGCTTGCAGCAGAGTCAGTATCCAAGTTTTCTCTCCTGTGCTGATGCCATCCCTCCTTCAGGAAACCCTGACCCGCTGGAGCTGGACTCTGGCAGTTTGGATCATCAGCTCATCTGCTTTTCAAAGCAAACAGACTGTCTTTCCACAATAAGGAGGATTTCCCAGGAACCCATTCTGAATTCAGTTTACCCTCTCTTCTAATATGAAACATTACTTCAGAAAGCCTCACTCAGCAATATTAATTGTGCCAGTGAGTATATAGAACTCTCTTTCTAATACATTGTTGTTTTTTGTTTGTTTTCTGCCCTCTTTCTCAGGATTTTTCACCAATTATCATCTAATCCTGTAAATCAAGTTTTCTTGATTCTAAGAGTCTTAGCGCTTAGCTCATTTCTTTCAGAGTGTCTACTGTGTGCCAATAAACATATTAGGCTCTGGGGTACCAAAGATGAATAAACAAGGTGCCTGACTACAAGGATGTTTTATTTTCAGGAGGAAGCAAACAAGTAACAAGTTAAGACTATACGTGATAGAAAAATGGACAGAAATATGAAAGCAAATAAAGCAAGAAAGAATGATCCTTCTGTTGGTATATAAGGAGGGATAAATTTTTATGAAATATTAATCAGCAGAGGACGAGTAGTTTACCAAGGAGAAAGGTGGAAGGACATTTTAAATAGAAGAATTTATCTCATCAAAAATGCCCTCGCTGGGCTCGGTGGCTCAGCCTGTAATCCTGCACCTTTGGGAGGCTGAGATGAGTGGATTGCCTGAGCCCACGGGTTCGAGACCCACCTGGGCAGGCCACTGCACTCCAGTCTGGGTGACAGAGTGAGACTCTAACTCAAAAAAAAAATGCCCTCATGTCCTCTCCCCCGTGGGAGCTTTTCTGTTCTCTCAATAAATGCTGCTTTTTAAAAAAAAAAGTAGGAGAGATTATAGATAAAAATATATATGTTATTAAAACATAAAGACAGTGAGAAGGAAGTCAAGAGTAAAAATTGGAGAGGTGAGGAGAGTCCAGAGAGTAAAGAAGTCAAGTCATCAAGGAGTCTGGTGACCAGAGAGAGAGAGAGAGAGAGACAGACAGAGAGAGGGACGCAGAGACTGGTGACTGCGGGGGCCTGCCCCGCAAGGGTCGTGGGAAGTGTTGAAGGAGAGACGGATAGGCGAACGACGATCATATACCGGACACCTGCTTCTTGAACAGACGACAATTTAATACTAGTTAACACAGAGCTTTTATACCATTCATGAAGGGGCAAGACAAAGAAAATTCTTTCACATACATATCTTTAAAAGTTACCAGCTAGTGGTCTTAGTAGCAAACAAACCAAGATTCCCATAGGCTTTAGTAGCAAACAAACCAAGATTCTCATAGGCATTTAGGCAACATCTTATTCATAAAGCCAACAATGACACTCTCAGTCCAATGTTCCAAATTACAAATGTTTCAAGAAAGTTTCTTTAAGTGTATGTTACTTTATGTGTCAGGAATATTCTCATCTTAGGCTCTTATGTTCTTCAGAGTCCTGTGATCACCTCCCTTGTCCAGATGTCCTCGTTACTTTTCTCTTATCTTGCAGTGCTTGTTTCTAAAGAGAACTCAAAAGAAACTTTTAGTAATGTTTCCCAGGCCCCTCAAGGTTACTTTCTGTTTTAGCTGATCTGTCATAAAAGTGTCTGATTATTATATTATGAGTTCAGTGAAAACCTACTCTATAAATGTTAACTTAGAATTTTAACTATTAAATTAAGTAAAATCCTTAACATTAATCTTTATCCTAAGTCAGTGAAAACAGTGTTATAAATCACCTACATACTCCTAGATAAGTGTTAGAACTTATAATGAATTCATAATGAACTACTATAAACTTGTGCTTCTAAAAAACCTTATGTCTAAACACTAAATTGCATAATCCTAAATCAAATAAGGAGTGGATATACTTATATCATTTATCACTTCAGTAATATCTAGTAACTTATAACCAAGTGAAAGAAAGCATTCTTGATGTGCTTCAGAGTTTAACCCTTGCATATGTTAGAAAAGGCCAAGTGGCATAGTGGGAAAATGGAAAAATAAACCATGACATTTCCAGGTTAACTGTGAGTACTTCACATATACATGCCATTTTCTTCTTCCATGACTGCACAGAATTCTTCGGCGGTATCAAACAGCAAAGGTGAAAGACAGAAGGGCCTCAGCTTCCTGGGCTCACCCTGCGGCCCGGGGTCTTCGGCCCACCTGGACCCTGTCAATCAGGTGGGCCTCCAAGGCTGGCTCCCAACAGGTGACTAAAGTATTGAGCTACATCTTGCAAACAGTGGGGGAGACACTGAAGATTTTTCAATAGGGAAATGATAGGCCTGGATTTGCATTTGAAAAAAAAATGTATGAAATAGGGAGAAATATAAAGGATGAATTTGATAAGAGCAACTAGAGTGTGGGAGAAACTAATAGATAATATTGGAGTGATTCAGAGAAGCAATGAAAAAGTTTTATCTTTGTTGACTGATTAAACATGGGGTGTAAAGGAATGTAAAATAACCCCTCAGTTCTGGATTAAGTAACACCTGCAGTGATATAAAATGTATAAGACACAACAGAATTTGATCAAATAAATTCAATCTTGGATAGGCTGAGTTTGAGATAACTATAGAACATCAAAGTAGAGATGTCAATTAGGCCATTGAAATACAGCTATGGAAGTTGGGGACAGATTAGCTACAGGGAGATTGATTCTGATGGTAATTTAAAATATCAAAGGGTGATGTCACCAAAATGGCAGACTAGAAGGTAACCCACTTATATCTTCCCAGAACAATTCGGCACCCAATTTGCAGTCAAATGTCTCTTTGCAGGAGGAGCCTTAGGATATGAGTAGGAGTTTGCTAAATCTCAGTGGAGCCCAAGGCCAAAGAAGGTCATTTTGAGAGTACAGACCAACGCCCTGGTGGCTGATTTGATGAGCTTGCTTATGAGTTCAAGCTCAGAAATGGCCCAGTTCCCCCGGAGATTTGAATACAGCCTCATTTGGCCTTGAGCCTGCATCCAACACCATCTGCCAAGGGGTCCAGATGGAAGCATGCACACTAGTGCCTTAGTGGAAAGATCTGTCTGCTCACTGACATTGGTCTCGGCAATAACCCCCAAAGTTCTGCTTCATCTCAGAGATGCTCATTCAGGGTCCCAAAGGGAGACTCATATCATGCAGCCCAGAAGTCTGAACCTCCCTGAAGTTGCCAACCTCCATCCCTCAGTAGGTCCTAAGGGGACCCACTCTCAGCCCCAGCCCCTCTCATTGCAGTTGAGGAACTATCCCATATGTGCTGAGACCTGCCAGGAAATGCGTACCCATCTGGGCCAACAAGGTGGGCTCGTCAGCTTCCATCCCACAAGAGATCCCAAGGAAGCCCAGTCCTAGCTCCAGCTCCTCCTGCTTCTAAGAGACATGTGCCCTTGAGCCAACAAGACTGGGATCTATAACCTTTATATCACAGCAGA